CTGAAGGCTTGTTCGAACAGGACTTTGTCCTCCACTGTCCACTCATCAGGGAAAGGTGTGAAGTTGGCTAAGTCGGCCAGTGACTTCTCTACATCATGTTTGTGCCACAAGAGCATCCCCAAAGCCTGTTGGGAGGGAAGAGAAAGAGACCGGGACTGCAGTGGACATAGAAACCTGTTTCTTCAAAACCTGAAGAGGTGAGGGCCCCTTTAAAAGTAAGTTTCTAGGGCCTGCTGGAAAGATGAACTTGAAAAGGATGAGGGATGAGATTGAGATGGCCCTGATCAAGGAAGGTTTGGGTGGGCTTTTAATTCCATTCCTTTGTTTACCTGTTCAATGTTGTAACCATGCTTCTCCTTGGCCATGGCAATGTATTTGTCCACTAGGGGGAGAAAGAGATAAATGTCAGACACTGGAAAGGGGGTGGAGGAATAGCCAGAATAAATAATACTGCTTCCAATATTTTTCCCTTGGTAGGTGGCTGCCGGCTACTTAGCTGGCCAGCCAAGGGTGCAATCTCCATTTCTGTGATGCCTGCAAAACTAGCAAGATGGAAAATCGAGGTCTATCTTTTGCAGAAAAGGTACCTTCTTCAGGAGGGCCTAAACAGGCATGGGATTGCCGATTCAGCCCGTTGGGGGTAGTTAAGCCAGGCTAAGGTTGGGTTTTCACACAACACTCAAAAGCAGTTGCTGTGTTTCTGCAATGTGCTGTGCTCAGACAAATATATCCTGTCACGGCTTAACAAGATGCCCGTGGGAAGACCAGGGCTTTCTTCCCACAACTCTTTTCCATCTCACTTTTGCTTGGCCTAACATTCTGCTATGAAAGTGATTTCACAGCCAGCTCCTTGTGAAACCTCTCCTGGGGAAAAAGACTATCCAATGGGAGTGTGAACAATACAGATACCCAGCCGTTGGGGATGAGGACCTCAGGGTAAAAAGGGCACCTATTTGACCCCTCCCATTCCCACCTGAAAACTTCACAAAAATACTGCAGCACAGTTCAGCTGCAGACCTCCTCCTCCCCTGCCCTGCTGACCATCCAAAGGCCATGCTTTAGCGGGCACTCATCAAAAGCCATAGCCCCAACCCCATCTTGGAGCTCTCCCTGCTTCAGCAGAGGCTGCCCAGAGGCAGGACTATCCCTCCTGTTGCCACCACCCAGCTGCCTGACCCAGCCAGATTAAAAGCCTGGGAGCACATGAGCCACACAGTAATTGCTTCTAGAAATCCTGGGGAGGGGAGGGGAGGGGCGGGA